CATTGTGTGAACATGTGAGGTAATACATCGGTGGTACTGTTAGTTTTAAACCGACAATTTATCTTGCGGTCATCAACATAACACCAAAAACTATAATCACTTTATTCGAAGATTTTCCCACGAGGATTATGCCCCCAACATGCACATTCCCAGAAGTTTTAAATTCCCTGGTCTGTGAAACTCGATACAGACCGGTTAGTACAATGAGTGAACATGAAATTCCAGATACCCGAGGGCACTAGATTGTCACTAGGGTTAGTGGATACCCCTGGGGTATGACTAACCTACCTACGCCAGTTCCAAAGTAGTGTACGCCCAGATGTCTGTTTCTCTTCATTTCAGATGACTCGTTGGAATTAAAGCCGACACCCAGGGGTCTGAACGGGGGTGATGTAACCTTAGTTATCAGTTATATTTTCGGTAATTTCTAGGCTATCTGTAAATTTGTCAGATCTCAGATCTTAGTTTATAAGTAAAAAAAAGAACGTTATTTCTCAGCTGATAGTTCAAATTTGGACCATTTTTCTAATATGAGTTAAACCCCAGGTAACAATTTTTGCATTGGTGGGCGTTTCCACGAATTACAGTGGAACGAGCGTTGGTTTTCAAATGGGCGTATATCTTAGTCTTGAAGTCGCCCCTCTGTTGCATGTCTTGTGTATTTCAAAACAACAAAGCAGACAGGTAAATAGCACCGATGAAATCACTTCTGTGATTTATTATATTTTCTATCTCTTCTTCCAGACTGTAAGTCGGCTCATGCCGACTAGAAAACATAAATCTCTTCTTTGTCGAACACACACATACCCCCTAGTTGGAGACAAGCATCTTATCTACCGGTAAATACCACTTCAGCATTTAATCGTCTTCAAAAAACGAAAAGGACTGATATGACTTTATGTACTCTAGTTACATTTTCAGTTTCAGCTATCTTCTCCGAATTTCAAGGTGACGTGACGAAATTTCAGATACTTTTATCAACCGGTACGTAGCAACAACAATTTCAGTTTTGAAAAACTAAAGGCCAACTTACACGCTACAATTTTTCGGCCCAGAATAGCCCAAAATTCACGAGAAAAGTTGTTTGCGAGCACAAAGATCGGCCTAAGTTTTAGAAGATGTGCTGCATTGCAACAGATCTCACAAATCGGGCCGATTTTCACCCACTCGATTTAAATAGAACACAAAAATTGAGCCCACAAATCATGGCACATAAATGTATTCAATCTAGTCTTAAATTTGACATTTTTTCGTTGATTTAACTTTTAGAAGGACTTTTAATATCTGCTTTGAAACAGTAAAGAATGTTAGATTGCAAAAAGTTTCAGACCGACTTAACGTAAACTGTTTGTAAATTGAAGGCTAAAGGCGCCCAATGTTGTGGTTTATTTATTAATTCTATGTCCTAGCCGAAAAAAAAAAAACCATACTAGAAAAACACCCGCACAAGCAACTTATTCTGTGACTGAGAATGGTCTTAAACTGCTTGATTTTCTTTGAGATTAGGCTAAGGAGGGCTTTTGCTGTGGCGTCATATCGAGTAACGTCTTGTTTTTCAACAGCAATCGCAGCAACTACTGCTGAACAAGCTTTCGAGGTGGCAACTACACAGAAAACGGGTTCAGTATTAAATCCGTTGAGACAGATCAGAATCTTCTGAGCATCCTTTTTTGCCTTCAAGTTTGCCAATTGCTTTTCTCTACTCATTGTTAACTCAATGTTACGTAAACATTACGTGCACAAAATGCAATTCCGTTGATCTTTTCTTCAATCGATTTCCCTCCCAGGTCGATTTCCCCGCCGATCTGAAAATGTTATGCGACAGTAAGCTTGTTTGAGTCAGTTTATAAACTGACCTCCACAGGTAATTTGGCAAGGAAGCAGAGAAGTCTAGTTTTACTTCCATTGAATCGCAGCCCTCGCAAACTATGTTCAATGTGGTACTGACGCTTATCACTAGTTTGAATTTTTCATGAGCGCGACTTTCATTTGAATGTTCATATTTTCAAGATTTTCAGGCCGAAAAAATTTTCTCAAAGACCTCAGTGACGGCTTATGCATGGATTTTGTACAAGAGACATCTTTTGAGAATACAGGAACTATTCTTTTTGATTCAAAGTCATCACACGGATTTTTCTAGATTTTTAATTATTTGCTAACCACAAAAGCACTATCGTGCGTGCAAGAAAAAAGAGTCAAATTACTATTACCTATACAATGTTGACCTGAATTTAGCTGGTTCAGACCTGTTAGCAACTCTGGGATCTAAGTATCCAGGCTCACAAACAACTCAACGCAAGTCTTTTCCTTCTCCATAACAAAATACGATCTGAATGGTTGTCTGGGGGCAAATTATTTTGCGGTCAGAAATTTCCACTGATGGTAGCGAGTTGAGACTGGATCACTGATGACAAAGTGTCTGACAAACCATGGGCATTTACGAGGTTTGATCTTCACGGAAAGCTCTAATCGCCAGCCGGGCTCAAGGAACAGATTACCTAATTGAAAACATAAGCGAGAATTATTTGTAAGTCTTCAATCGCCGAAAATACAAATATATATATATGTTATATATGCGTCTTTGATAAGTATCTCGAAACCCCGTCCTTAATTAGTTACCGTGGATTTATAAGTCGTTTTCTGTTTTTCGTGGTTCTTTGGCGATAAATTGTTAACGGGAAATTAAAAAGGTTATTGGCAATTTTACACAAGCTAAGCACATGATATAGCACTTAATGAGTTTAAAAGACGCATTCGCAGCAATGATGTAACTTATTTAATAGAAGCCGACTGCAAGGGTTGCATCTTGTGCTCAACGAGACACTCTTAAATCTTATTAGTAAAATTAATAGATTTTTTACACTGATCAGCTATCGATGCATTCATAGCCTACAATGTTTAGTTCCATCTAATTAAAACATTTTAGACTGCATTTTGTATTATTCATATTTTAGCGTAGATATTTTAGTCTTCTCAGTTTTGCATTTTATATCAGTCTGTGTCCCCTTATTAGTATGGGTTTCTCCCAGGCTACATAGTTTGGCACGTTTTTATTTATTATTTATGGACGAAGGTAACTCACTAGGCTTTTAGTGTAAGCCTCCAACAGGAATTAACCAATTAACGAAGATGTTAAGCCCCGTTTATGGTATGACTGGTTGGTGGGCTTGATAAAATCCATGTTTGGCCAGACACATCGCCGTAGACTGAAGAACCATCATTACCAGACACTTGAATTCAGTACAAATCTCGTTACTGATTTCACTTATCTTTGTCTTCGCCATTTCCAGGAGCCAATTCTAAACGTTTTTGAAATTCGTGCGTTTCATAACGTGGGATTATCGTTGTTTGTCATACTGCTGCCAAATAATTCATATTTCATTTATTTGTCATGTGTCTCGCAAGTTTCCCTGCGGAAGGCAATTTCACTGGCGCCATGTTGTTTCTCTAAACGGATTCTTTACATTTTTTATTTACCGAAATGCTTATTAACCATAGCTGGTAAACTCCCCATTGCCATGCTATTCTGTTTCAGGGTTTATCAACAGCATTAATAGACGCATACATGTATCTCTTCGGGCTTTCTGCGACGAATAAACGTTGATGTGCTGTCCAGAGAGAATCGAAGTGTGCCTAATTGTATTACAAGTTGATTAATTGCCCCGGGAACAAATTAATGTGTCTCTTAGATCTTCGTTTCCCACTTCCTGCCATTAATCACCAAGTTGATGAATCAGCTAAGTGCCACTGTGAAAACAAATTGAAATTTCGGCCGCAAAAAACTCCACACGAACAAAATTCAATTTGACTCAATGAACTCGCTCACTCTCCCTTAAAACACGTTAATTACATAATGTGCACAACAGCGGTAATTTTCTTATGTTTCGTTTTAAATTGCTGTATACTCCCTGTATACTCTGGTTTTTTCTTCCCGTGGGTTTGATCTTAACCTGTCAACGCAGTAATGTGGCCTGTTTACCAGTATTTTGCGAGCGTAATGGGTAGGTTATTTTACGGCAGACAGACAAAACATTTGCAAAACATACTTTGTTGTTTTGTTGTGCAACCTATAAAGTGCTTGCCGCTGTAACAACAAATGTTTGACTTATGGCTGTACAAGGTGGAATTGTTTACTGAAAACACCCATAAGCAAAAGTGTCAACAATAAAATATTCATCACGTCCCATGGAAATCAAGGAAATTTATCCACAAGTGGGGCTATGAGGGAAGTTTTAAAAGCATTTCGTTTGAACCCTAGGAAGCCATAACTCGAAAGCTGGTTGGAAGTGACTGCGGGTTTCGAAATGCTTTTAGTCCGACCCTGATTAATGAGCTGTGAATTAGTGTACCGTCTGGGTGGTAATCGTCAGTTTAATACTTGAAGAAGTGTTGAAAGGGTTGTGTAATTGTTTAAATTTGAGCTTCGGACCGTATGTCATGTTCTCACGCACTTTCAGGGCAGTAGCAAACCATGCGCGCGGACAAACATAGTTATCGAGGTTGAAACCCTTGTCACTTTTGATCTACAATTTGTTACGCTAAAAAAACGTCAAACCATTCAGATAAATCATTGCCTGGTGGTATTGTTCAACTATCTGTCGATTTAACTTCGAGACAGTAGACACTCTTCAAGGCTAGCTGAAAGCCGCTTTTCAATTGTATTTAGATTGATTAGCTCGAGATGCACTCTTTTACCGGCGTTTATCCGACATCATCAGGTTGCGACTAGTTCCCAAGTACTGTTTACGAAGTGTGTAGCGGATTTCGCTTTCTAATCCGTGGAAAATTCTAAGTTTGTGCCCCAAATCACCTGAAATACTTCAGCGATAACTTATCTTGATAACACTGCCCTCTTTAGACGGAATTTTTCGCTGATAAGCGTCGAAGGCGTTTCACATGTGCTAAACATAAGAATGCAACCTTTAATCACATCAAACAGATGAATTGTCCTGGCGGCAAATAGAGCGTTTTTTCTTTGTGTTTCGGTACCGCGATGAGCAAGATAGATGACTTAACAGGCCCTCAGCTGGAAAAAATGTCCTCTCCTGTCCTCGCAGGAAATACTTCTTTAGTATTTATAGATCTGCGCCCATGGATGGGTACTATTTCCGGATAAAATCTCGAAACATTTTTTCTCACCGCATTTGAAGACTATGTAAGCTATGTTGTTAGAGTTTGACGTCTTTCATCTGGCTTATGCGAAACAACTTCCTCGAAGGCTCTACACCTAATGGACTATGCAAACTTTATGTTCACCTCAAGAGGACAAATATTGGCCCGCTTTCATGTTAATGTCATTCTCTATTCTTGCATGTTGAATGGCCGCTCAAGAACGGTTTCGATTTGAGTAAATATCATTTCCCAGGAAACACAAAAGATTTGCAACCTATCAATGCCCGGCTGGCCCCTCCAAAGATCTGTTTATGACCCGCGCTTAACCAATCGGATGTCCCAGGTGTAATTTAATTTAGAAATATCATATTACAGGTGAGCCAATCCGAGACATTATAATCACACAGGTTTTTTGATAAAATCGCATCTTTAAACACAATCACATTTCAACCAATTAGTGGCTGTGAAATGTTCTTTGTCCCTGGGGCGTAGCTAGAGAGATCGCTAATTGCTACACAATAAATGATGTTCGATCATTTTACGGACTCGAGATGGCATAATCACAACCAAACAGTCAAGTCTGCAGTGTTCCGTGTTTAGTATCAAGTGCTCAGGAAGTCTGTGATTCTCGGCGAAGATGAAACCTGTATGCCTCTTGTACATTTCGCCGCTACTTCTTCTCGGCTTAGCTAACTCGTGCTGTGTTGAGTATTCGAGCGGTCTCAAGAGAAAGTGGGAACTATGGACACGTCCATTTTTACGAAAACGTGCCGTGGAAATCGCGCAAAAACGACTTCTCTCAATTCTGGGACTAGATAACTTTCCGACGCCTGGGCGACATGTTATTCCACACAAGTTCATGCTGGAGCTGTACAGGAACCTTTCGAGCGGGACTTACAAAGGAAATCTTAACCATAATATGGTGCCGAGTGCTGTAGTCGGTATAGTGGATCAAGGTCAGTGTGTGTTATTATCTGGAGGTTTTTGTAAGTGTTTGTCATTGTTTGTATTTGTTTTACGACTCGCCCAATCTCGTATCCCGTTTCTTGTTCCTCGTTCTCGAGCGAGCGATGTAAAATTGTGTCCAATTTCCTTTTCATCTTCTTCCTGCAGAACGCCGAGACAATTCAGTGAGCAGAAACAGTCAGCAAGTATTTTATTTTAATGTGAGTAACGTGCCTTCATCGCAAACTATCATCGACGCAGAGTTACGGGTGTTGAGACTATCCGTGGTCAAAGGTAAACCATTTATCAACTGGCACGGCACAACTTACAGAGCAAAGCTTTATGGCAAGCGTATGCTTGATGTACCAAATTTGTCTCCTTTTGAATCAACTTCAAACCTCGAGCTTCTCGATTCGATCGAGTTTGACATCGCCGATCGGTCATCGGAGAATTGGAACGTGTTCTCTGTCAAAAGAGCGACTGAAAAGTGGCAGAAAGCAAGAGCGAATTGTCACCAGCTTGAGTTACGCGTGGAATCTCTGTTGAGTGGAGAGAACGTCCCACCGGAAGAGATGGGCTTCGCTAAAGCCGGGCGCCTTCATAACAAGCACGCTCTTCTCGTCGTGTATACAAGCGATGGGAAACCCTCTGATCCCATCCGGAAACCAGTGTCATACGAAAACAAAGCCGATGGTAACGCAATATCACGGGGAAAAAACACTGAGCTAAAACAGAACAAAATCGACTCCGACTTGGAACACAGCAACCGGGTACGAAGAGACGCGAAATCGAAAACCGGGGGAAGTAGCTTGAAGAAGCGAAGCAGAGGAACTAAATCGAAGCGTCGACGCAAAAAAGATTCCTGTCGCAGAAAACCCTTATATGTCGACTTTAACCAGCTTGGCTGGTCAAACTGGGTGATAGCACCAAGAGGATATAACGCGTATTTTTGTCAAGGACTCTGCGAGTTTCCTATCGACAATCATTTAAAACCCACGAATCACGCCACGGTACAGACGATTCTGAACTCCGTGGCTCCTTCGCTTGCGCCTCAAGCGTGCTGCTCACCGAATAAATTCAGCGGTATTAGCATTTTGTATATGGACAGAAGCGACAATATCGTGTACAAGAAGTACGAAGATATGGTGGTTGAACGGTGTGGCTGTAAGTGAACGGATTTAACGGGGGTAATTGATTGTAGGAGAATCGACAATACCTCTGTTTCTGAACGCGATCTCAGGCAGTTCCTTCGCCTATAGGTGCTGACTAAACTCCGGCACTACACGCGCGCGAAGCTATCACTGGTTTTTATTGAGTCAACACCTGACCATGAGCTTAACGCAGAAACTGAGAGCCGTTGTCACCCGTCGGTGTTGTTTCATAGAGTTCTCGAGACTTTCACAGACTTTCAACACTCGAGAGTACATTGCCCGCGCGCATACATCTGCTCGGCGACGTCAAGTCAGAATTTATTCACGGGCCGGATTCAAATAAACCCCGCGCTGTGTTTACTCAATTTCTTGATCCTCGGAGATGATTTGGTTTGCATAATCGCATTAAAATTATCACTGATATTGTTTATGAACTCAGAACGTTTCTCGAAAATACCCTCAGCAGGGATGAATGTCAGTTTAAAAGAGGTTTTTGCACCCTCGGCCGACATCAGTGTCAGAGATTACTTCGGTATAACACAGCTGTGAGACGGCCGAAACGTATTTAGCTCCAGAGTTCAATTTGTATTCTCACTGTAATATAGTCATAGCGTATTATTCCACGGCAAGATTTTTAGCACCTTGTTATTTTTATCAGATGAACACACGCCTTCGTCTGTCAAAAAGTCACTATTAAGTATCAGTATTAGTGAAAAATATTTATACGTAATTCTCGTGCCCGGAGCTAGGTAACTATAAAGAGAGTCGGCTAGTCAACAGAGCAACAACGATACGGTTAGTTTATCCTTGATTAGCGAACAATCGATTTTTTAGTTATTATTACCGCGCTCGAATGTAAATAGTGAATAATTTATTTATTCTTGACTTGAAAGGGAACATAGAAAGCGCCCGATTTTATTGTTGTACTATTTTTATCTAGAGCCAACGAGGGCCAGTTAAAAGTGCAATAGAAATTGCGATCTAAAAATAAATTGGTGTTCACTTGATCGGCCTGTGGGCTTGATATGAGAGCATGGTGTGATCATCATTACTTCTGACGATTCCGGACAATTACTGAGTAATGAATGCATTCTGAAAGAAGCCGAACCAATAATGGCCATAATTAGGTCGTTGATAATTTGACGAAAAAAAAAGAGTTTTCAACACAAGCTTTTCAATCCGCCTCACTCGGTGCATGGGAATTGAACCCGCGCGCTTGGAAAATTCACGCCGCATAGCTTAAGAATAAATTACTGGAGTGTGTCGCGGTTATTTCATTGCCGTATTCGGCCGGAAAAGAATATGTAATGGTAGATAAAGAAATGAAAGATATCCTACACTCGATTTTCTCCTATTTTACAGATAACAAGACCTCAAAGGTTATCGTTTGTCCCACGGAAAATGCGAGTCCCTTATCTTGAGATAAGCTTCAACATGTAGAATGGAATTTTTGGGGGTGTATGATAAAACTTGCTTAGAGACCTTAAAAAAGAAATTCACCTACGCTATGAAACTGCTGTTTTACCCCAGCATTGAAAGAATTCACTTAAGAGCTTTGAAGTAATCATTTAATCAATTCTGCCCAGAGCGGTAATTATTATTTTGGCTTAAAACTTGTTGAATTAAAAAGCTTTTCCAAAACAAAAGGAAACATATTTTCTCTCGAACGCAAACAATTAACGAAAGCAAAGAGATAGTCTATCTTCCTGGAGCCGTCAACACTCTTGAAATATTTCGTGTTTTTTGGTGAAATTAAAAGTTCATTCCAGCAAGCGAAGATTGCATAATACAAGAAATATTACAGAAATTTTACACACAGAAAGCCCTCGCGACTCCTTACGTCCAAATAAGGGGTCTTAATTGCACATTTAACTGCGCTTTTTCAAGTTGACGAAATCCCTTTGCCAAAATATTCTTGATTACTCGAACACGACCTCGTAACTGCATGAGGTCTAAAAGTTAAGTACTTACTGCAGCGTCATGCAAACACGCTACAGTCAAAAAACACCATTACAGTTTGCCTGTGACCAGCGATAACACCACGAACAGAGAACGCAACAGAACTCGGAGAAATTTTTGGCAGACCGCGCTGAAAATTGCCGATTTCTGGAGCAGATTGTTTGTGTTCTACGCGAAGATTTGTTAAAGTGGACAGTGCGTTCTTTCCAGGGGGCATTGTAAACTTGGCTCTTAGCGTTAAGTAGTTACCCAAGGACGTAGGGAGTGACCTTAAGGGTTTAACCTTTTCAAGCAACGAGACGCTAAATGCGAAAACCTTCGCTCGCTGTCAACAACAGTCGGTAAAGTTTTCACAGATAATATTGACTTTCATTTGCCACTCAATCCTTGTTTACAGCTGAGTAGAGGCACGTTCCTCAAACACAGGACAATTCTATTCCAAGGAAATGGTGATGTTCGCAGAGCAGCTTTAAGGTTCGAGACTTACCAGCTAAACACGGCTACGCTGTTTCATTAATTGTCAAAATCTCATTTGCTCACGTTTCTGTATCGTAGATGTTGAAGGATTGCCTTGAAGTTGTCAGCGAGGTCTAGTTATTAAAATTGTATACCTTATCCCTCTTGGCTGGTACCCCCCTGCACGAGTGATTGACACCTTATAGGTCAGGTCGTGTTGTTGACTGAACGAGATTCCATCGACTGCTACGAGCGCTGAATTTGGTGACTTCAGCAAATAAGTGCTTCATTAATTAGCGTAAAGAAAATGAAACATTTGTTATTGATCTCGCTTCCGAGTGTCAACGGAGAGACCAAAACTACTTCAGAAATTGAGAAACTCCATGTAGAAGTCGAAGAAACTCGGCAAATAGAAAACTGTGAAAAACATGCGAAAAATGTTATGAATTTTTTGCATGAATGTTCCTTTATCCTCATTAATCTGGAGAGAATAAAACTCGTGTACAAAGAGAACATATTTTTGAGCTTCTCAGTAGATCTGTCGAGTCGAAAACCATTATTTTTCTTGTATAGCTGTGAAAATTGTAGTTAAACTTAAAACTGAGTATAATCTGTGCATCAATTCTTCTGCTCTTACAGTAAGATATTGATTGGTTGAGTCAGTAGTACTCCTGTCACATGCAGAGTTCTAATTGTGTTACACCTTGACGAAGGTGGCCAATTTTCAGTAGCGTTAAGTTAACTGCACTGAGTTTGTACCATTAAAGGAGCTAAGTCACAGAAATTTAAGTTGTTTTGGCCACATACAAAAATCAGCTTTAAATTGAAGGAAACCTGAAAATAATAGTTTACTTTTATCCTAAAGGACCAAGGATGGTTAAGGATGGAGAAGATTAACACAGATTACAAACGACGAACTTTTAAAAAAAATTAGGCTAAACTTTTCAAGATACGCAAGCCGTGACCGACTTAGTTCCTTTAAATTTGTCACTTGATTTCCAAGAACTTTAGGAAAGTATATCCTTTAACTTTTAAAACTGTGATTGAGGTTTGTTTGATCCTTCCCAAATGAAAGCTGTCGAGCAGTGCTTACTTATTTACTTATTTAATTACTTACTTACTTACTTATCTAGTACTCTTTATTATGCTGTACAAGGTGGTTCTAACTTTTAAATCTGTGGATGAAACTTTGAAATGAAAGCTATTGAGCAGTACTTTCATGTGGTACTGTTTATTATTCTGTACAAGGTAATTCTTATTTTTAAGTCTGTGGATGAAACCCTAGTGTGTGACCATTCAAATGAAAGCTATTGAGCAGTGCTTTCATGTGGTACTGTTTATTATGCTGTACAAGGTGGTTCTAGCTTTTAAGTCTGTGCATGAAACCCTAGTGCGTGACCATTCAAATGAAAGCCACTGAGACATACAGTGCTGTTTTTTCATGCTTGCTGTGAAAAGCGAATTCCACTTTGAACTGTGTTCAGTGATTATGGCATAATTAGAGTTACAACCTTCACAGTTATCAGTCCCATTGATGTATCATGTGTTTATTTTATAGCAACGCAACAAAGCCGTCGCTTACGAGTAGAGCTGTCAGTTGACTTTCTATTTTCTTTTCAATGCATAACAACCTGAAGCTGACTGACTAGTTGATTGGGGTGTTCTCCATAAGAAAAAGTGATTGATGTCTGTTTATGTGTCTCAAGTCGTTGCTAGGAGACTGGTTTTCATTTCTACCCTATCTGGTCAACAAACTTCTGTTATGAAGCTTAAGTTTGTAATAAACCATTTTTTAGCGTTGCTCAAGAAATGTTTTACCCCTGAGAGGTACCTTTGTGAACTCTTTTAATAATGGGTGATGCATGCCAGCTAATAAGTAACAGTCAAATGCATGTGTAAGGGTGGAACAACTTGAATGGGACCTAAGACATGATTTTCTAGGTCATAAATAATAAAAAGCGTTATCAGGTCCCCAGGATGTCAAAAATAGCAAACTAACTGAACCAAGAATTATTGTCTTCATGCGAAACCAAACTTCTAAGACCTAATGTTGAAAGAAACTTTGGCATTCAGTACATCGCAATTACTTTCAACACCTTAAGGAAAAAACTCATTTGCGAAATTCTTATAGTTCAACAGGAAAAAACTTGATTATTGCATATATCTCACTGACGGAAAAAATTGCGGAAAGCGTTGAGCGATTCTGTCTGGTTAACTGTTGCCCATTTTTCCTTCTGAGAAAAAAAAAGTTTTTTTCTTATTTATTGTACGAATAAGATGGAATCAAAAACTTGACAAATGACATTTGTTTTGGGTTCCATCGTCTTGTTTTATCAGTAGCGAACTATACATTTACAGTTCATCAATGAACGAATGGAAATGAAATTGAGCCTTTTTGGATTCTTGAGTTTCTATTTTTACATATCTTCTTTGATAAGTGTTGGCCAGTATTTCAATAGGTTACGTTCTAATGGCCGGCGCGGCATTCCACTCATTAAAGAAGCTAACCCTTATACCAGGGTCTGTCTCGATTGGAGTAGATTGACTTTTAAATGATAGACGGGAATTGGTCAAACTTTTTAATGTTTGTGGTGAAATGACGCAGTTTTAAACAGAAAGCTGAATTCTGAGATCTGCAAAATTACTAATAGTTGAATAATAGGCTGAAATTTTACCTGAAAGCTGAGAAATCGTCTAAAATTTAACTGTTAAATGGCATGCCTGCACCACGTTCCAGACTCTCTTATGTCCATATGATTTCAAGCTAGGATTGAAGTACTTAATTAAATTACAGTCAGTAGGTTGTTATGAATGAGAACACTTTAAATTTCTGTCAACAGATCTCATATGTGAGTTTTTTTAGAAAACAGACCTGAAATATAATGTGCTTTTGACGAGACCTTTTATGAACAAAAAATATTTTGTCTCTTTGTAATGAACAGGTATTTTTCTCTGTACTCGGAGGGGGATAATTACGTTTTCATGTTGAAAGATTTGATTTAGGAACGGTATACAATATCCAGTGTAAACAAAAACCAACATGTGTGACCAGCGACTGACTTCTCCTCATTATATCGATATAACGTCAAGTAAACAGGTGATGAGAATAATGATAACGATCATCAGGGTATTGCTGTCTTGATGTACTACTAAATTCTCAAACCAAATGTTTAGCGATCGGGAAGGACAATTAATATATCAATCAAAGCCACTGAGAGATGACCTGGACGTTATTGGGGCCCGGTAAGATATGAGTGGTGGAGTGGAGAGGGGGGAGGGGAGAGGGGTGAGGGGGGAGAGGAGAGGGGGGGAGGGGCAACTACGGCAAATACTATCCGTTCTTTGTATCTGTTGAATTATCAACGATACATACTTTTCGATGATTTTTTATTTGAGAATCAATTGTTGGTAACTGACGGTTTTCGTCAGTAGCTGACGATTTTCGTCACCTGTCTTTCAAATCATTGAGCGCCAGGATTACCTCGTGGAATGCCACTAACATAAGATGAAACTGATATATGACATCCTTAATACTCGACAAGGGAACTTTCCCCTCGAGTGTTTACCAGGAAGTGATGAAAAGATCCTTGATTTACACATAGTTTGGCAGAAATGC